CATGGCAGAAAAGGAGAAAAAGGCGACACGGTTGTATCGAGAGTTAAAGGTGAGCCCACCCGATCACCTGGCTCCCCGCCACTTTAGGAATGCTGCAGGATCCATCCTGCATTGTTTATGACCAACCCTCTTACCCAGGCAGACCTCGTGATATTGCAGATTTCATTTCAGACCACCACCGCAGGGAAGAGAGCAGTAAAATGAGCCATGTGCATTGTCTGTGTTTCCTAGTGCCTATAAAGGTGCATTTGTAAACCTTTATATTTTGTTTTCTAGTATGCATGCAAAAAGTATATGCACTGGACTGTAAACCAAAGGTGTACTTTCTACTATAGCCCATGCCTGGATGGAGTAGTGGTTATGCACTGGGCTACTACTAACTGCAAGGTCAACAGTTCAAAATTACCAGTAGCTTCAAGGAAGGAAGAGGGGGCTTTCTACTCTTGTAAAGAGTGACAGTCTCTGAAGTGAAACCCACAGGGGCACTTCTACCCTGTCCTACAGGGTTGCTGTGAGTCAGCATCTACTTGATGGCTGTGTGTGTGTGTGTGTGAGAGAGAGGCTAGTCTCAAGGACACAATAGCATTCTGAAAAGGTTTGAACTAGTCCTAGAATGACCCAAACAGGACATCTGACCGCAAGATAATAAACTTGCTCAACCTAGCATTGTCACAAACAATTTGTCAAAAGAGCAGTATTCGTGGAGCAGAAAGAGATGAAGCAGCATCAATGAGGTATGCCTGTGTCTGTCTCCCCTGGGAACACAGACCAATTTAAGAACAAGACCCAGGATGGTTGAGATTGTGTAAAGAAAGAAGCACATGGGTGGAGAGCCCAGATTCCCTGTTGAATCTCTATGAGTGTGATTGCTCTTCCAGTCAGGCTCTCTGACGTTCACTGCGGTGAACTTGAGTGTGAAGCCTGACCACCTTAGACTTGCCTGGTGTTTTCCGGCTGCATTTTTAAAAAATCATTTTTGGGGGCTCTTGCCACTCTTGTTACAATCCATATATGACTGCATCTGACATATTTGTACAAATATTGCCATCATTCTTTGTTATACATTTTTTCCCATTGATCCCTTGGGATCAGCTCCTCCTTTTTTCCCCTCTTCCCTCCTCCCCCACAACCCTCGTGGCCCCTTGATAGATTATAGATTGTTATTATTTTCAAATCTCACACTGTCTGCTGTCTCCCTTCCTCTCTGGTTTCTGAAGTTCTTCCCCCTGGATGGTGGTGTGTGGTTATGTGCTGGATGTATTTTAATATACAGTATTAGCCAGGAACATTTTGGTTTGTAAAGGACAGAAGTCCACCTTGACGGAGTTTAAGAGAAAGAGAGGGGCAGAGATGTGTAGACTTGTTGACTCACCTAAACCAAATTTGGAAGGTTCGACACAAAGTTGGTCCTGGGAATAACTGGGTCCAGAGCCTCATATGGCATCAGCAAGCTGTTCCAGCATCTTCCATGTTTTAGTGCACGATTGTCTGGCTTTGTCTGGGCTGCAAGGAACATGGCCCCAGGCAGCTCCACATTCTTACAACCAGAGAGGAAGGAAAACACTCATTGTCAACTCCAGCTAGGAAAGCAACACCAAATATGATTGAAACGGGAAAGGACTTTACGGAATCTGGCAATTGTCATCCTTCTCTTTGACTTTTGTGTGGTTGTCTTTGTGTGGCCTTGGGCCACCGAAGCTTTCAGTGGAAACGCCAATGACATACACAGAATCAAGGTCACTCTCTTTTTTTCTAGCCCTTTCCCTCCATCACCCCTCGCTGATAGGGGCTGGGGTATCTTCTGCCCTCTATTCCCAGGGAACAAAGGAGAACGAGGTCCTCAGGGACCCCCAGGATTCCCAGGGCAACAGGGACAAGATGGTCAGGATGGACATGCTGGAAGAAGAGGAGACCCAGGACCCCCAGTATGTATAATGCTTTGGCAGCACTAACCTTGTCCTTTCTTATATGGCCACACAGCAGTTCTTCACTCAGTTGACCAAGGGTTAAGATGCTGTAATCAGAGCATCCACTTTCAGTTCTCTGGGCCTTTAGGAGGATGGGGCTCAAAGACGTGGTGTCCTTGGAGATGGTCTAAAGCCCAGAGTGGTGGCTTGGTCCCCAGACTCTCTCACTGTCATGTTGCTTTTTCTCTTCTGGGGCCACTGTTTCTCAAAAGCCCTCCATGATGTCAAACCATGGCCCAGCTGGCCCTGTCAAGTGAAGCACGGGGCACAGGTGCTGAGGATCCAAGTCGGTGCTTTCCCTAGGGAAGAAATCCATGAGCAGCTATAGCAAGGCAGAGAGGCCCAACTAATGCAAGGCCACTGTGCTCATGGGAAGTGCCACTGATCAAGCATATATCCTTACCTTTCAGTCATGGTTTGGGTGGAAACTATGTGTAGGTTAAACCATAACCAAATCCACTGTCATCCAATTGATTCCAACTCGTAGTGACTCTCAATGGGGTTTCCCAGGGGGCTTCAGACTTATCTTTCTCCCACAAAGAGGCTGGTAGGTTTAAATGACTGCCCTGTGGTTAACGGTCCAAAGTCTACCCTTCAAAGTCACCAGTGCATAGTTGTGCAGGTAAGGAAGGGAAAGGAGTCAAGACATGACCCAATATTGGGGATTTTCTTTCTCTTTTCTTTCTTTTTATTTTTTGCATGTGTGAGGCACTATGGAATTCATGATGCTTACAAGGTCACAGAGCTGGGTTGGATGTTTTCCTATGTAAACCAGCATGTGAATCGCCTTTGGTTGGATCGAAATTCCAACTGTTTACTGCTTGCACCCCTGTTTTTATGTATTCCCACTGCTGTCGAGTTCATTCTGTCCCATAGCAACTCACAGGATTGTAAATCTTTATAGAAGCCTCATCTTTCTCCCAAGGAGAAGCTGATGGTGTGAGCTGCTTACCTTGCAGTTAGCAGTCCCAGGTGTAACCACTATGCTACCAGGGTTCATAACCTTGGCCAAACTAGGTCTTTGTAATTCTTCCAGACGAGATGCTGGGTGGAAAAAATGGTTATGTGCTCAGCTACTGACCAAATGATGGTTTGAAGACATCAGAAATACATTGGGAGAAAAGTGGTGCTTAAGGTGACAGCCATACAATCTTAAGGAACATCGGTCCACTCTGACCCCACTCTGACCCACATGGGGCCACCATCAGTTGGAATTTATTCAAAGGCAAGCTGGTTTTGACTTGCTTGTTTTGAGAGCTGAAGCGAACATGGCAACTGGGGTCTGGCTAAACTCAGATTCCTGTTGGGACAGAGCTAGACTGTACCCCTGAGGTCAAGTTCCCAAGCAGGAGGGCAGAGTGCTTGTTAGCTTGTTCCCTATAGACTCAGAGCTGCGATGGAATCTGTGTGCCTTCTGAGAAGGCAGGAAAAGAATTCCAAATCTAAAAGAATGGATCAGTTTGTAAGTCTATCCCCTCCCTTGGTTTCCTGATTTCTAGGTTTATCATCTTTGATAAGAGAGATTTGGTATTAGTGGCTCTACATGCAATTTTGTATTCTAGTTTGGGCATATTCAAAAGAATGGAAGAAAAACTGGAACGACAGATAAATGGATGCTTAAAAAGGAGCCTTGGTGGTAGAGTTGGTTAATCACTGGGCTGCTAATCAAAAGGTCAGCAATTCAAACCTACCAGCCACTCTATGGGAGAAAGATGGAGCACTCTGCTTCCTTGAAGATTTATAGCATCATACGCCCTATGGTGCAGTTCTATGCTGTCCTATCGAGCCACTACGAGTCAGAACTGGCTCACTGGCAGTGGGTTATGGGTAGACAAGGAGTCTTCAGAAAGTTTGTGGGGAAAGGGAATAAAAGATCATGGAATTTTTCCATGCACTTTTAGAAGCCCCGTCGTAGGTACATTCTTGAAGGAGAATGAAGCTAATTATTCTAAGTTGCAATTACCAGCGATAAACTAGAGTTCTGGGTGGCACAGATGATTAACATGCTAAGTTACTAACTGAAAGATGGGAAGTTTGACCCCACCCAGAAGCAACTTGGAAGAAAGGTCTGGTGATCCACGTCTGGAAAAACTAACCATCAAAAACCATAGGGACAGCAGTTCTACGCTGATACACATGGCACCCTCCTGAGCTGGCCTGGATTCTTGGGCAGTTGGTTTACCTTCTGGGCTGTCTATTGGAGTTGGAGACTTTGAGTTCATGGACTTTCTAAGGCTGACAATTGATTCACAAATTACACATTTCCAGGGAGATCATGAAGACGCAACCCCTGGTGGTCAAGGGTTCCCTGGACCACCGGGACCTCCGGGCAGAGAAGGAGCCAGGGGACCTCCAGGCCTGGGATTTCCTGGTCCACCGGGAGAGAGAGGGAGACCAGGAGCTCCTGGCCACCCTGGCATGAGAGGCTTTGATGGTCTGAAGGGTCAGAGAGGTAATGTGAATGTTTGTGTGGCAGAAATGCAAGTGAAATTCTGGAAGCTACAGTCAGCCCTGGTCAAGTAGTGGGTTTCGTGTTGGGCTGTTAACCAGAAGTTCAGCAGTCTAAAACCATTGGCAGCTCTGCTGAAGAGAGATGAGGCTGGCTGTTCTTGGAAAGCGTTACAGTCTCCGCAGCCCACTGGGGCAGTTCTACTCTGCCCCATAGGCTCTCTGTGAGTCAGGATCTTAGGTACACATTTTCCCCAACTTCTTAAACGTTTTCACAACCACCACCAAAAAACATGTATGTGGTTCATAGGCATGCATATGTGTGTGTGTGTGTGCATGAGTAAAATGTTATCTTTAGTCAAATGTCACATATAGAACGATGTGTGCACTGCTTCTGTTTTCATGCATATAACAAGGCACATAAGTGCATAGCTACGGACACTTCTTAGACGTAACCAAACCCCTTGTGGGGTTGGTTTTCTGGATGGAAGACTCAGGACTATAGTCTCGTGGGCCAACCTGGTTAACAGGCATAATATGGCTCGTGGAGTGGAGGTTCTCGATCCTAGCTTGTGAATAGTGACTGGGGTCTTAAAGTTTTCAAGTGGTCATCTAAGATACAATAACTGGTTCCTGTCTGGAGCAAAAGAAGAAGAAGGAATCAAAGAACAAATTCTTGCAACTTCTTCTAGAGTCTAGCCTACGTGAACCACAGCCTCACCTACCCTGAGACCCTAAGAAAGAGATGGAGGATAAGCATTAGACTGCTAACTACAAGGTTGGTGGTCAACCCCATCAACCACTCATTGGGAGAAAGATGGGGCAGGTGTCTGCTATAAGACTTACAATTCGTGTACAGCAACCCTATGAATGTGAGTTGACTCTGTAGTAGTGGGTTTAGATTTGGGGGGCGGGGGTTAGACCACGTTCCTCATTAGTACAATTTCCAGAGTTCAAACAGGGACCTTGATTTCTGAACCCAGGGCTGAGTATTTGCTGCTGTATTTCATGATGGATCAAACCTTTGAGTGTTGAGGTTTGGATTTCAGGACAGCTTCTCTAGAAAGCTAGTGTGGGAACAGTTTGTGTCATCGAATGATGCCTTTGATTGTGATTCTTGCATTTGATTTCCACACGTATTAGAGGGGAAAGGTTTTGAGCCAAATTGCTGTCATTGTTGTCTACCACTTACCCGAATGCCACTTTTTTTCCCATTCCAGGTGATACAATTTTGTGTAACATGACCTACCCGGGGAGGCCAGGCCCTCCAGGTGTTGATGGACCTCCAGGTACGATCCATGAGATAGCCCTACCATTTACATCTCCTCTGGGAGAAGACCCACGAGACAGACACAATGACAGCGAACTTTCAGACGGCTGGCTGGGAGGTTTTCAGAATTCTTAGAAGGCTTTGAGGGAGTGTGGGAAAACGTGTGTCAATTCACAGTTGCATTCTCTCACCTTTGGCTTTGAGGAGTATCCTCTGGATGAGTTTTTCAACTCTCAAATTTTACTTGACCCTGACCGCCTATCCGCTCCAAGGTCTGTCATTTGAGTCTTGAAACGATGTCTCTTTCTTTCTTTCCCTGTGTACCACGCGTGAGCAGGAGCCCTGGTAGGTCTGTGGGTGAAGCCCTGGGCCGCTGACTTCAAGGTCGATGGTTGGGAAGGAAATGAGGGGACTATTCATAAATGATTGGCAAAGCCTCCGAACCCTCTGTAGGGTCGCTCTGAGTCACAGTCGGCTGGGTGGCAGTGGGTATGGGTTTGGGGGTTTACCTAAGGCGCCACTGTGAGCCGGAGCTGACTGGCAGCCACTAAGGATGACATCATCTGTTTCTACTAAGTTGTTCGCTGGACCTCCCTCCACCCTATGATTTGCCACTTTGTTCTCCGGTGGTCTGCGTTTAATTGAGGCTCTGTTTTGTTGTTGGTGTTGTTTAGGTCCCATGGGATTCCCGGGTACCCAGGGCACTCCCGGGCCGAGGTGTTTTGATGGACCAAAGGGCCGACGTGGCAAACCAGGACTATCCAAGATACCAGGCCCACCTGGTAAGGGCAGTGTGTTTTCCTGCTCCGGTACATGGACGGCAGGAGCTTTTAACTACCTCTAAAACCAGTGGCCTTCATCGGCAGATGACCCGGGAGCCCTGGGTGATGGGGAAAATGGTCTTCCTAGTGACTCGAGGCCCTGCGCTGTGCTTCCATAACTTAGTTGTGATCATTTCATTAGCTAACCCTAACCCTAACCCTAACCCTAACCTTGAAGCCTGAGTTAGAGGCCACAGTTGCTCTCTTACACTATAGAAACGGCCCAGGTCAGACAGAATGTTCGGCAGAGAATAAAAGCCATTAGAGAAGCTTTATTGACTTACAGGAAATAGGAAGTTACAGTTTACTTTCCTGTAAACGGTGGCAAAGATATTACCTACTAAGAAACTCAGAGTTTTAGTGTTTCTACAAATGTCTCCTTCTCCCTCTCATGTCCCACTCCCCACTTGAACGTAGTAGGCGTCTCTTTGTACTGCCTCTGTATTTGGATTGTTAACAATTGACATTTTGCTGTTGTTATTGAATAGGTTTTTGTGGCGACATGGGAGACCCAGGCTTTGAAGGGGACAAGGGGGCTTCCCTCCCGGGGCCCCCAGGCCTTCCCAGCTCCCCTGGTGTGAATGGTCAGAAAGGACTCCCAGGTGACCCTGCTTATGGGCCCCCAGGACCTCCGGGAAAGAGTGGTCCTGCAGGAGTGCCAGGAGTGAAAGGGCCCCGAGGTGACCCAGGACTTCCAGGGGCTGCAGGTAGGAGACCCATGCTGTCTGTGTGGTCCATGAAGCTGGCCATAACCGGGGAAGCCACTGAAGAATGGTTAGGCCGGTTTGTGTTAAGTCTAGAATGTTCCATTTTCATCCAAGTTTTCTGCACCTCAGGGGTTGCCATTGACTTTTATGGGTTGTATCCAAATCCAGGATGACTCAATGGGGCTCACTCAGCATAGTCCGGTCCCACAGGCCCCACACAGCGTCCGGTCAATTCTAACTGGTATTAACCCTTAAAAGGGTTTCCCGGGTTGTAAATCTATATGGGAGCAGACAGTCTCATGTTTCTCCCAAGGAGTGGCTGGTGGGTTTCAACTGCTGATCTTGCTGTCGTAGCTCAACACGGCACACATTAGGCCACTTTTCTGATTCTAGTGTACTTAAAGTTCATCCTGGGTAGGGGTAAGAGGAAGACCTTGAAATCTTTGTGGTCTGGGCCCCAGTCTCTGGAATTCTGATTTGTCGATTCTGGGACAAGCCCAAAGTCTGCACTTTGAACAAGCAGTGATGGAGCCTCAGAGCAGATGCTGAAGAATAGTGTTCCGGTTCTTGACAGACAATGCACAGGCAGTATTTATTAGGCATCTACTAGCCCATAGGGCAAGTGGGAGGGAGATGGGGAGTAAGCCAGCACCCTTGTCCTCAGGGAGCTGAGTTTTTCAGTCGAAACACACACACACACACACACACACACACACAGCAGTGAATGGGAATGCAAATAGAAGCTGCGGAAATCATTTTAACAGTCATCGCACTTGTGAAAATGCATTCTCATGGAAGGGATGATGGCTAGTGACATGAATATGACCTTGTAGTATTATAGTCCAAGGTTAAGCGGGAAAAACACATATGCGAGGGGGCTTTAGAAAGTGTATGGAAGAATTCCATTATTTTTTAATTCCATTTTGAAGCCACCTCTTGTCTAGGCACATATATTATTCCTTTGGTTTCGTGTCCACTATATAGAGAGAAGAGATGCTCTGGTGGTATAGTGGTTACGTGTTGGGCTGCAATCCACAAGGTCAGCAGTTCAAAACCATCAGCTGCTCCTCAGGAGAAAGACGGGACTTTCTACTCCCATTAACAGGCACAGTCTTGGAAACTCACAAGGAAACTCTACCCTGTCCTGTCCTATAGAGTCACTATGAGCTGACAGTGACTCGATGGCAGTGAGTCTATGTAGAGAGAAGGAAGCCCTGGTGGTGTGGTGAACTGGTTGAGCATTGGGCTGCTAACCCCAAGTCAGTGGTTCAAATCTACCAGGAACTCCTCACGAGAAAGATGAAGCAGACTGCTTCCAAAAGATTTATAGCCTTGGAAATCCTATGGACCAGTTCTACTTTGTCCTGTAGGATCCATACGAGGCAAAATGAACTGGACAATAGTGTGTTTGGGTTTGGGAACAAAGAGTACATTGTCTCTTTGTGAAATCGTATTTGTGAAGATAACACCAAAATGGAAAACAATTAAAGATCAGCATGTCATAGGAGCTCATTCAACATCTGAATGTACACCAGGATGACCAGGCTTTAACTTTATGCAGCCAAAATACAATGAAGCGCTGGGAAAGAAATACATTTCCAGGTTCAGGTGTGAAATGAGGGTTAAGATGTCTTTGGACGTCAGTGTCTTTCCAATCCACGTCCCTTTGAGGGGGCAGGTGATGGACTCTCTCGTGAAGTGGGTTGTCTGTGCAGGAGAGAGCTGAGAGAAGCCAGGCTTGTGTTAAAAGCAGGAAGAATCATGAGTGCTTTGCTTTGCACAGGTATCATCTTTGTTGCCCACCTCAGTTTATCAAAGCCCTCACTCAGCAATGGGTGGTCCTTTCATTCATTGAGCGCTCACCGCAGCTGACAATAAGGACACCCACGTGGAGGTTCCTCTCCCGGGAGCACTGAGCCAGGATCAGAATGTCTCTGCCTCACTCCCACTCCCATCATTATCGGCCTTTGCAAGCAACTACTGCTTTGCCATCTCTAGAATTCTGTGTCACAAAGGTCCTGGGTGTGTTGTATCATTTCAGGGCCTCCTGGCAGTCCGGGAATTCCAGGTCTCATGGGCCCTAAAGGCAGGAAGGGAGGTGCTGGGTTACCAGGCACCCCAGGCCCAGCTGCTCATTCCTGTGATCGAGGCGCCCCCGGGATGCCAGGCCAGCCAGGATTCCCTGGGACCCCAGGAACGCCAGGTAAGTGCCAGCAGCTGTCAGAACTGTGACAGGGCTCGGATTTAGCTCTTCCCGCAACTGCAAGCCGATCCGCTGCTGTTGTGTGGATCCTGGCCGACACCAGTCTCCTGGGTCAGAGACAAAGAGGACTGACCACTACCAGCACAGCAAGTAGCATAAGCTTCATGCAAGTTTGCATGGGCTCTGAGGGTCCCCTTAGTTCCATTCATGCCACCCTTCATGGCCCATGGCGGTGATGAAGAGGGGGCTAGGCCAGGGGACCCCTGCTTTACAGCCACCCACTCACCCACTCACCCCAAAAAATCTACTTTTGTCTGGGGGAGATGTGTCAAGCTCGTGGTGGCCCCTGGACAACAGCACAAAAGATGGTCCAGTCCTGCGCCATCTTCACCATCGTGGCTACGACCAAGTCCACTGTGGGGGCCTCTGTGTGTTTTCAGTGCCTTCCAACCCACGGGCTCGTCTTCCAGCACCTGGATGAGCAATCGAGTGCTGTGGTCCCGTGGGCTTTCACCGGCTCGTCTTCAGACACAGGCCACCAGGCTTCTCTTTCCGGGCTGTCTTGTTCTGAAAGCTCCCGCGAAACATGGCATCCCACATGGATGAGCGTGCTGGGATTAGAAACAAGGTGGCACAATTTCCAGCAGTCCACACCACCACACACACCACCACAGGCTTCAGACTGGCTGGTGGGCGGTCTCTTGGCGTGTCCAGTGGGACAGGGGACAGGATCCGAGGAGCCGCATGGCGTGCCTCTCCACGCATGGTACCGGCAGGCTATTTCCAATTTGGCCTATACTTTCCCGTGCAGACTGCCATCTCTGCTATTGAAATCTGCTCACTATGTTTAAAGCAGTTTGTTAAAAAGTACATCATTTTATTGGCAGGCACTTCGCATGTCGTACAATTTAATCATTCAGTCATATGAAGGTTTGTGCAATCAGCACAATCAATTCCAGAACATTTTCTTCTCAGACTCATTGCTGTTCGCTCCCCATTCTCCCCCATCCTCCCTTGCCATGCCCCCATCTAGTTACTCTCTCTATAGATTAACCTATCCTGAATTTCATGTACAGAATATCATACAAAACAATACAAAATTCATGCGAAGCCAACCAATAAACCCAACAACAATGACTAGACAAAACATAAAACTCTCCATCAAAGAGAAAGCAGAAAATATTAAAAACTGAAACTATCTTAAAATGGGTCAAAAGGGAGATAAATGATAGGGTGTTACATTTTAACCTAACCACATCTGCCATAACCCACTTGACAATGCTCTCTGTCTGATAGCAAGGCTATTCATATCCCTCCACTATGATCAGAGGGGATTCACTAAATCTGATCGCTTTTTGCCTGACCCAGGAATATGCACTCCCACAGGATTGACACAAGATGGGGACAAAGCCTGCCTCTCCCATCTCCTTTCCATCCACAGAAATACTAGATGGCATTGCTCTGATTTCTACAGCTCCCTGGTCACCGTGAATAGTCTTCCAGAGCTCCAGCAAGTAGCTGGGAAGCGATTTTCCTCTATGAGTTTGTTTTATATTTGCTCCTACAAGTACAATGCACATAGCATGTTTGTTCCTTATCCCTATCCATGTTCTAATAGAAATAAAAACCACTGGCAAATATTTATGCAAGGGAATCACCTCCACTTAAAATTTCTTTTAGGGTGGTAAATATACATAATGAAAAGCTGTATCTTAAGCATTCTTTAAGTATGCAATTCAATAACTCATTCCATCCTATCATATTGAGCTATCCACTTCCAAAAGCATATGTCACCCCCAAACAGACTCCAGCTGTCTTCATCAAAGTACCTTCCGTAGCCTTTCTCTGACAGCCGGAAAAGTACAGCCTTCCACCAAGGGAGTTTAATTCCCGGGTGTCCCTGGGAATTCCTGAGTGGCACAGTTGGTCAAGTGCTGGACTGACTACTAACCAACTGACAGGTTGGCAGTTCAAATTTACCCAGAGGCACCTCAGAAGACAGGCCTGGTCCTCAGCTCCCAAAAGGTCCTTGCAAGCCTTGAAAACCCTCGGTCGCTGTTTAACTCTGTACAGGTGGCCTCAACGGGAGTCTGAATCAACTCCCTGACCACCGCTTACCTAGCCTAATGCAAAGTGGCTATTGTTATCAACTGATACATCCTATTTGTTGCGCATAGACAAGGCCCTGCGCATGTGGTTCCTGCGTGTGAATGTAACTGGTTTTCCATCTTCATACATGGTCATCACTGTGATTTTGCTCAGGTGCCCCAGGCTGGAAGGGACAGCGAGGGGATGAAGGTTTTCCTGGACCAGCTGGAATGAAGGGTCTTCCTGGAGCCCCGGGACATCAGGGGGCCGGCGGGCTCCCAGGACTGCCAGGGATCCCAGGCCCCATTGGGGTCGATGGTCTACCTGGCCTTCCGGGCCCCCAGGGTGGGTAGTGCATCTGCATTTTCTCCTCCCATTTTATAACTTTGGCATCTCCTGCCATCTACGACCTATGACTCATCTATGACCTGATCTATGAGGCTGATCTATGACCATCCTGATGGGATTTACGGCTCCACTAGCCTGGCTTTGCTAAGCCCTTGTTGATATTGGTCTCCCTTCTCCTGTCCTCTGTATTATGATTTATGGAAAGCTGTGGTGGAAGCGAATGGAATAAATGGTGAGAGGATGTTAAGGATATTAAGGTTGACAGAGCCCATAAACACTTCTGCTCAAAGGACTGGGTACTTAATCAGCGAAGTTCTAGAGTCAAAGCTAATGTACCTCTGCTTTGATTCCTTGAAAGCATATGGGATCAGGCCTTCTGAAACCCTCGAGCCTGCACTTCTGGTGTCTGGGGTGGAACACTGAGAAGGACTGCGTGGCCAGGTGGAGCTATTAATCAGCCACCTGGATCATGCTGTTGGTCTTCACTAGAAACTCAGTTAGGTGGGGTTTGCATCTCTCAGTGAATTACGAGGAGGACAAATCGAGCCTTTCCTAAGTTTTCCTAAACATCTTTCTGGTCATTTCTCAGGACCCTGGGGCCTGCCTGGTGTCTCAGGTTTTCCAGGAGAGAGAGGAGGACCTGGCCCAGAGGGACGGCCTGGCAGAAAGGGAGAACGAGGAGAGAAAGGCTGGCCTGGTCTTCTGGGAGATCAGGGAGCAAGAGGTGCCAAAGGTAAGCTGAGTGCACAAAGCAGTGTTGTGCGATTTGTTTGTTTGAGGTGTTTCATCCAAACCTATCAATATATGAACCTATATATGAACCTATATGAAAAAAAAAACATTAAAAAAAAAAAGATCCTGTAGCTTGGATTCCTTTTTCTTCTATGTCATTTTTTTTTTAATGTTAAGCAAATGCCTTTTAGTTTCCTTATTTTCAATCCTGTATACTAAACCACAGTGTATGAACTACTCTATTAATAGAAAAAAATGTTAACAACTGATTCTTCTCATCAATTGATACTACTTTTCACTTTTTTGTGTTATTTGTCAGTAAATTATTTATGCAGAATAAAAAAACCCAAAGAGACATTCTTTACTCACTTGGACAAGGAATGAGTTGCTATATTATTATACCACTGTGCTACTGTGTCATTAATCAAACTAAAATCTGCTGCCATTGAGTCTCTGCCGATTCAAGGTCCCACCATGTGTGATCACGGAGAACTGTTCCCAAGGATTTTTCTGGTTGCAATCCTTGTAGAAACTCATTGCTACATCTTTCTTCTGCCATGTGGCTGAGTGTGTTCGAACTATCAACTTTTCAGCTAGTAGTTGAGTGGGAGTGTACATCATTTGCATACCCAGAAACACATGAAATCACTATCCCAATTTAAAAATAAAAGAACACTAAAGAATTGGGTGAATGTCGGTGATGACTTATAGTTACCCATGGTTTAACAACTGGTTCACAAAATTCTAGAATTAACCATTGCCAGCCTGGTATAAATCCATTCCAGTAAGCTTTTATGCCTGGACAGTACTTGGGAAATTTGAGTCTAAATGTATTTTGTTTTATGTACCAATTCTGCCATTTCGGAAGTCACTGTGTGGTGAACTAAGCTGAGGGAGGTAGGCATTGTTTTGTTTTGTTTTTTCAAAGACAAAAGCAAAAAGGACTATTGCTGTGGGGTAGAACCAGTCCATAGGCCCTCAGGGGCTGGCATCTTTGTGGAAGCAGTTCACAGGGCTTTCTGTTTGAAGTGCTGCTAGGTGGGGTCCAATGGCCTACTTGTAGGTTAGTTGAGCATGGACCGTTCGCATCACATAGGAAGGTTTCTTATCTGTGATTTTTTAGTGAAAGGAAAGTGATAGGGGTCGGCTGCTGCTGTTGTTAGGAGCTGTTGAGTTGGTTCTGACCCATAATGATTCTATGGACAACAGCAAGTAGCTCTGCTCTGTCCTGCTCAGTCCTCACAATGGTTGTTACACGGGAGCCCATTGTTGCATCCACTGTCAATCCATCTTGTTGAGGATCTTCCTGTTTTGTTGACCTTAGGGACCTATATGGTGAAAAATAAAGAACTGAAAAATATGAGATGAGTCATTCGAATCTCACAGGGTCAAGAGACATTTGGAAGACCTGGAGCTTTTCCAGCCTGTCTTAACTCACTGATGATATTGATACTGGTTGGCTGGATCTCACAAGCATTGAGTGGGTGCTGGTTGGATAGTGGGGACAACCCTTCTTTAGGGAATCAGGTGATGAAGCTGATACTGTGGAGTACACAAATCTCGATGTAGTTCAGGAAATCAAAGGGGGTGGTTTCTAAACTGAAAGTGGAACATTTCAACAGAAGACTTTTGTGTGCATCTGTTTGCTTTGCTCATCAACATCTAATACCTAAAGGAGAGAGAGGACCTCCGGGGGATGCAGGCGAAATGGAGCTGCTTTCAAGAAAAGGAGCAACAGGAGAGCCTGGACCTCCTGGAGATGATGGAGTCCCGGGAGAAACAGGTAGTCCCTCGGGACGTTCAACCCCAACAAATAAGCTGGGTTCTTAGCAGAAAATCCAAGTGAGCCGGTGGATTTGGCGATTTTTCCCAGTCGCAACTGAGAGGTGGAAAGGCCATTTTAAAGATATGAAGATATACACTGATGAGCCCGGTGGTATATTTGAACATTACCATGTTCGCACTTGGCTCAAGTTTGATTCTGTTTGTAGATTTGGGTGTTCTCGAGGAGAACCGGTACTGAGGTCCCCCTCTGTGTCTGGGAATTGGTAGTGAAAGCAATAGTCAGTAGCCCGCTGACTTTCCACTCATTTCTCCCAACACTTCTGAAGCCATCGTGTGCAGAAGGGCCACTGGGACTCAGGTTGAGAGGTGCATTCTCAGTTAGCAGCTCTGGGGCAAGCTGGAGTCTATTGTTACGACATGATCCCTGGTCCGTATCCCAGGCTGCTTGTCCTCAGAGACATGTAGGAGCAAGGACTTTGGCAATCACGTTTGTATCCTCTTAAAGTTTACACTTCCTCTGCATGAGACCTGTGATTTTTGTCTCGCCACTCTCTTTAAGGAGATGTTGGGGAGCACGGGTTGAAACTTCCCTGGGTTCACATTTCCACATTTGGAAAAGGAGAGTGTTGGATCAAAGGACCCCACGCACCCACACGACCCGTCATGGTCCCGAGTAGGTGTGTGGGCAGTGCAACTCAGGGCAGGAATTAAGACTCCCCATACCATTGGGTTCACCTGAAAAGAGGACCAAATTGCTCAGCCTAACTCTGACCCTGGATTTCTGTAAGGAGGTTTATAACACTTCCAACTTCATCAGGTGATAAAGGAGACCCCGGGATGCGAGGAAGAAGAGGAGAACCAGGAAGACCTGGGTCCCCTGGATTCTACAGCGGGGAGCCTGGTAGAAAAGGACAACCAGGTCTTCCTGGACCCCCAGGACCTCCAGGCTCACCTGGCCCTATAGGGATCATTGGTTTCCCAGGATTTCCCGGTGAGCAGGTGAGTGCTCTGGAAGAGGAAATAATAAAACTTTCTGTGCTTACGAGCCAGTCAGGATGCAGTATAGCACCAATGAAACATACAACATTCCTCTAGTTCTTTAATGCTTCCTCCCCCCACTATCCTGATCCCAATTCTACCTTACAAATCTGGTTAGACCAGAGGATGTACACTGGTACAGATCAGAGCTGGAAACACAGGGAATCCAGGACAGATAAACCTCTCAGGACCAATAATGAGAGCAGTGATACCAGGGAGGAAAGGTGGGGGGAGATAGAGGGAACCAATCACAAAGATCTACATATAACTCCCTCCCTGGGGGATGGACAACAGAAAAGTGGGTGAAGGGAGACATTGGACAGTGTAAGACTTGAACAAATAATAATAATTTATAAATTATCAAGAGTTCGTGAGGAGGGAGGTGTCAAAATGAGGAGCTGATACCAAGGGCTCAAGTAGAAAGAAAACATTTTGAGAATGATGATGGCAACAAATGTACAAATGTGCTTGACACAATGGATGGATGGATGGATTGTGATCAGAGTTGGACAAGCCCCCAATAAATTGATTTAAAAAAAACACTTCTGTTCTCATAATCCCCTATTGCTAAATAGTGTCATCTTGGTTCACACTTGTCGCAACCCTCTGCACAACATGATGCAGAAACACTGGCCAGGCCTGGGCCATCACAGTTACCGTGTTTGCGCCTGTTATTGTGGCCTGTTAACCCACCTCACTGAGGGGCTTCCTATTTTTCGCTGACCCTCTGCTCAGATCCCAGCGCAAGCGGTAATTTACCAGTGTCTACCATGGCATTTTTACCCATTTTAGGACATAAGCAATAGGACAAGGTGAAAATGGAAACATCTGGAAGGTCATCATTCAGCTGAACTTTCTTGACTAATGTTCATGCCTGGTTCCCCTGATAAAGATGATCAAACTTTTACATAGTTCGTGTACTACTTCCCAGCCTCGTTTAACCAACTCAATAGAGAGTTGCCTTGTGACGATTGGTTCCAGGAATGCCAGGCTGTTTTAGAAAATGACTCAAGCCAATTCGAAATGTTGTGAGTAAAACACGATCCCTTGAGAAACTAGGAGGTACAATAAACAGAGTGGCCAAAATTATGTTTCTGGAAAATGCATCATATAATTTGATGCCCATCTTGTGGATTAAAATGGATTTTTTTAATGTTGGTATCATGTGACTTCTAATAATAGTTTAATTGGTATCAACATGTCCAGTCAAAGTTTAACATTCAACTTGGGCAGTGCAGCTACTCGTTTGCCATCAAGTGCAGAGAATACCTGTTAGTGTCGGCATCTTCTTCCAAAGGTATTTATCTTTGCGGTAGTATGCTTGCATTGCATTTTAAATTTCCTTTACCATTGAAATTAGTGAAAACTAAATTGGTCGCAGAGAATGGTTCCCGGACGCTGTCATGCATGCGCCAATTATATATGAAACCCAATCTCGTCTCACTCGGTTTCATTAACCTCTCAGGGTGGTCCAGGTCCTCCAGGCCCCACTGGATTTCCAGGGATGGACGGCATGAAAGGACTGAAAGGTATGCTTTGGACATCTAGCAGCCATCCGTCAAGAGCATAGTCCTCTGTGTTGTGTTTGCACCATTGTGTGTGAACATTAAAAGCTAAGTCTATGAAACAAAGCATAACCCCCAGGGGCTTCTTCTTAGCTTCTACTGGACCAAGACTCAACGTGTTGAAGGGTATCAGATTGGAAATGTCTATCAGCAGAGCACATCAGGTCTTCCTTTTCAGTGGGTGGCCTTGCAGCAGCTCACATAGTGACCACAGACTCCCCCAGATGACAGATGGCTCTGAGGCAAGGTGGGCCATCAGGTGCAGCTGTTAGGGTCCCACTTACAACAGTCACTGTAGAGAAGCCATTGCAGAGAGCCCCGAGTTCCCACTAGATGTCTACTTCACTTACAGCATTCCCGGGCTACATGTACTTGACCAGCAGGTTATTTTTACCCTAAGGTAAGGGTCACTAAATGCCTCATAAGCCATAGGGTCTCTATCAGGATGACTCAACAGTGCTGCGGTGACATGCACGTGGTCCGAGATCATTTGTAAACAAATGGGTCTGGTTGTGTCCCCATAAAATGTTATTTACCAAACAGGCTGCAGGTGGATTTGGCCCCATGGGCCTTTGTTTGCTTCTTGGCAAACACAGTGTTGCCCGGTAACAGAGTTGGCGTCCTGTCTTCATCAAGTGTCTGAGGAAATGGGCCCAGATTAGCCCCAAATCAAGAGTGTCCTTAGAAAGGGAAGTTTTGTCAACTCTCTCCAGACAAGCAAACAAACAGATAAGCACCAATCAATATTTTTAAATTGCAACCTTTGCATCAACCATTTAATGTTTTGACTACCTTTGTATGCCATTGGAGTGACATTTTTTTCTTTAAATTCCACGTGAAAATGATTGACCTTATTAACCTTGGCCTCATCCTAATCACTACGTGTGACTTCACAAGTGTGACGTGCATTGTATTTTCTTTTAATATGCATTCAAGTGAACAACTCTGAAATATCAGATACTTATTAATGAACCACCTGTCATCCTCTTGCTCAGTCAGCAGTATATGAATTATACTTTGGGAGATACTCTGTAAGTAATATGATTATCTCTTGTCCCCCAACCCACCCCAAAATGAACTGAGCATGCTTAGGTATTCAGAAAAATAGTCTTGCTCTCTTCTTCAGAAATGGTTACAAAGAAGGTAGTTTTCTTGTTTGATTTTGATGATCACTGTAGCTTTTGGCTTCAGAAGTTCATTTTTCTTCTTACTTATACATTTTGTGTAGCCCTAGGCCTTTCTCACAGCACAAACCTACCTCTTCCCATTCCCCTCATAGTTGTATTTGGCCTTGTTTTCAAGGAATTCTTTTAAGGACTCTCAAAGTCCTCGGAGTACAAGGTGTCTCAAGGAGCCCAAGCCAGAAGCCCTAGTTCTTTGCAGACCATCGAGCTAATGGAACTCTCCAGTAGGCGACCCATGTTCCTCTCGCAGGACTTGGCTTCTCTACGTGGTTTGTTCTTTACTCACCTGTTTACCAACCAGCTTCTTCACGCTCTATTCATATCCTTTCTAGATCCTGTACCTTTCCATTGTACCCCAACCTGTTCTATGTCAGGGAGACTCATCCTTAGGTTTCTGACCCACTAACCAAGGGCTTGATATTTTCATTTTCTTTTATTCTGGCTTCTTGAGAAAAGACTTCTTACCCCAGGTTAGACCACTTTTCAATCAGGCTCCTTCCCCTCGGCTAACTGGCCAGGATTATACATCGCATCGGGTGGGAGAGACCTTTCCCT